TCTCCGGCTGAAGATTTTATGCAACAGCTTGATTTAAAGCTTTCACATTTGCATATTTCTAAACCCTCCATTTCCATGCTCAATAAGGATTCCCATTCGGATTCCCATTCTGAAGCATCTGATCATAATCAGAATACTGGCCAAATTCATAAAATGAAATGGGCTAAAACCCCTAACCTCAATAAATATTATTACACTCGCCCTACTCCTATGGATGTTCTCCATGAAGAACAAGAGTACATTATTAATAATAGTTATAATGGCAAGTGTATTTATGAGTGGAGTCTTGATGGTTTCACTGATAAGCATATTTATAATATGGCTCATCGCATGCTCATGTATAGCACTGTTTGTAAGAACACAGGCAATACTGATAAAAATATTGCCAAAATGATTATAGCAGGTTTTACTGGTCAGTTAAAAGGCTGGTGGGATAACTATATCCCTTCTGAGCAAAAAGATCAAATTCTTAATTCTGTTAAGAATGAAGATGGCCAGGAAACAACAAATGTTGTTTATCCTTTAATTCTCACTCTTATAGAACATTTTACTGGTAGGTTCTCTGATAATTGCGAGAATATTAGAACCCTCATCAGTAATCTTAGATGCAAAACTCTTACTGAGTTTAGATGGTACAAAGATACTTTTCTTTCTCATATCTTTGAGCTTAAAGACTGTAATAACAGTCATTGGAAAGCCAAGTTTGTAGATGGCCTTCCTCATCTCTTCGCTGAGAGAATTAGGAAGATTCTGAAAAAAGAGAATATTTCTGTTCAATATGATGATTATACTTATGGCCAGCTAATAAGTACTTGTGTTGCAGAAGGTCTTTCATTATGTAATGATTTGAAATTAAAACATCAAATCAGAAAGCAGAATCTGCTTGAGAGAAAACAACTTGGTGACTTTTGTGACCAATTTGGCATGGAGGTTCCTTATAAGAAACCAAAAAGAAAATTTCACAAAACCCGCGATAAAGATTCTAACTATCGCCATTATAAAAAACGTTTTAAACGAAAATCTTTCGATAAAGGTTTACAAAAGTCTAATAGAGCTGAAGACTCTAAAAAATCAAATGATTTTTCTAAACCTAAGAAACATTTTAAAAGTTCTCAGGGTTTTAAGAAAAACAAAATTGTTTGTTCAAATTGTGGCAAGGTTGGCCATTMTTCAGCAAATTGTTGGACTAAGAAAAAAATTAATAGTTTGAATATTGATCAAACCACGAAAGATTCTCTTTTAAACATCTTTTTGAATTTTAAAAATTCTGATGATGATTCCGATTATGATTCCGATTCTAGTAATACTATTAGTGTCAATGACATTGATGYGGATATCTCTTATTTATCTTCTAGCTCTACCGATTCTGAATCTTCCCCTTGTGATACTTGTGCCATTGGTCAACCTTGTGCCAAAAACTGTCTTAATGTTATTCATAATAACACTTCTCAGGGCAACAATGACGAGTTTTATAAACTCTTATCTCAATTTCAGGACCTTAACATTAATGTTTTAACTGATGAAAATCTTTTAAAAATTTTACAGAAAATCAAAGATCCTGTTCTTTGCTCTGAAATTTTAGAAAATCTAGAGTTTAATAAACCTAGTTCTTCCAGTCTTCCTTCTCCTATCAATAATATTGATTATTCTATGAAGGAAATTAATCGCCTGCTTCAAAATAAACATTTTTATTCTAAGGAGATTTCTGTTGCTGATCTTAACAGAGAAGTTAATCTTCTCAAAGCAGAAATCACTGCTCTAAAAGATGATAATATTCTTCTTCACAAGCATCTTGCAATTGTTTCTGCCAATCAGGATTTATTAGTAAGGAATGCTCCTTTTCGTGCCACCCCTGAGGAACCTTCTTCCTCTAATGAGCATACGCCTCATCCTGATACGCCTCATCCTGATAATGCTACTCTTTCTACTATCAGTAGAATGATTTCCCAGAAATGGTTTACCAAAATTACTCTTCTTATAGATGGGCATTTTAAAAAAGAATTTTTAGCCATGATTGATAGTGGTGCCGACTWGAATGTTATTCAAGAAGGCCTTATTCCCAGTCGCTTTTTCGAAAAAACCTCTTGTTCTCTTTCTCATGCAGGTGGAGGTGCTTTAGATATCAAATTTAAGCTTTCTAATGCAAAGATTTGCAATCAAGGTTGTTGTATTACAACCAGTTTTCTTTTAACCAAGGCTATTTCTCATGAAGTGATTCTTGGTCTTCCTTTTTTATATYAGCTTTATCCTCTAACTCGTATTGACGAGCAAGGTCTTACAGGAACCTTTAATAATAAAGCCCTTACTTTTAAATTTATTGATCCACCTGTTAAACGTTTTCTTGATATTCTTCAAGATCGAATTGATCGTAAAACTCATCATCTTTATTCTCTCAAAGAAGAAATATCTTCTTTAACCATTGATGAAAAACTCTCCAATCCTCGTCTTAAATCCAAGATTGATTTCATTCATAATGACTTCTCTCTTAGCATCTGTAATGATCATCCCAATGCTTTTTGGGATAGAAAGAAGCATATTGTTTCTTTACCTTATGAGGACGATTTATCTGAAATAAACATCCCTACTAAAGCCAGACCTTGTCAGATGAATGCTGACTATATTGTGCTTTGCAAAACCGAGATTTCTAGTCTTCTTAACAAAGGTCTTATACGACCTTCTCAATCTCCTTGGTCCTGTACTGCTTTTTATGTCAATAAACATTCTGAGCAAGAGAGTGGTATTCCGAGATTAGTCATCAATTATAATCCTCTCAATAAAGTTTTAAAATGGATTAGGCATCCTATTCCAAACAAGAAGGATCTTCTTGATCGCCTTTTCCAAGCCCT